GGAAGCCACCTTTCCCCCTGCAGGCACCAGCTCCCCATCCCCAAGAGCTGCCACTGCAGCTTCCTTGGCACCCCTGGAAGTCTGCTTCCTGCAAGGGTGCTGTGCCGTCACCCTGGGACCTACTTCCAGGCCGTTCAGCTCAGCCTCATCCACACCCCCACCAACCCCTTCCCCTTTTTTTGTGTCTTCCTCACTATAAGCTGCAATCACATGTCAGATTTATTTTAATTAAACATTGCTGCTTGTCCCTTTGGGTCAGTAGAAAACTGCAGAGTAATGCAAGACACTCTAATTACTACATTTAACAGCAAAAAAGAGTTAATCGGTTACGTTGTAAAAGCACCTGGAATATAATTAAAACCTACCAATGTGAGAGGAAGCTGCCAGCTCCACAGTCTCATAAGGAAGATGGGGGCTGAGGCAGTTTTTGGCTTCATTAGGACCTGTGTCACACAGACTGAAGGAAAAATCCAGGGTCTGGGACTTCTGCTGGTATCAGCCAAGCCCAGCTCTTCAGTGTAAATCGCTTCCCTGTTTTTCCTGGTTCTTTGTTTCCAACATCCTTAGGCAAGGTTGGAGAGGGAGCTGAAGGCTGCCAGGCTGTTACGTCCTCGGGACAAGGAAGAGCTCAGGTCAAACTTGATTTTTTCTTGGCAGAGAGAAATCAGGGTTGAAAAAGTAGTTGCCAGCGGAGGTGTGAGTTAGAAATAACGGTGGTGTGCCATTACCAGCTGTCTGTGGGCACGGGCACGGGCACGTTCCCCCAGAGCTGGTGCTCAGGGAAGGTCTGTCTGGCAGCTAAAAACCATCTGAATTTTGCGCAAGGAGAAATGATGATGAAAGCTGGGAGTGAGGCAGTACGGATGGTGTCCTGCCTGGGATGTGCTGCCTGTGGAGTCCTGGGAGGTTCGGAAGGCAGGTGAGGGGCAGGGGTTTACAAACATGTTATAAATGATAAATGCATTGTGAATTCTGGGTACAAAAGCAGGCAGGGAAGGCTTTCCCAGACAGCACTCCGGCGCTCTATGGTGCTGCAGTAGCAGTCTGGGGCCCATCCCTGGGCCTGCCTGCGGTCCTGGACGTGAAGCAGCATTACCCAGACTGCACCCAGACACCCTGTGCATCGACCCAGGTGATGCCCTGCAAACTGCCCGGCTCCCAGTGGCTCCATGGCTGGGCTGCAGGCTCAGGCGTGATGGTTGCACTGGTAACACCCTCTCAGGACTTCCAGCTTTTCATTGCTTTCACTGTCTTTTCTCTTTCCTTTGCACTGTTAAGTCCAAAGGCAAGTCATACATTGAGTACCAAGCACTGCCCCGAAAAATTAGCTGCTCTGCCTGGCCAGGTGCTGAGACGGCATTCCCTGCCTCTGGCACACGCATGGGACGTCGCCGTCGCCGGCTATAGCACTGCTGAGAAACGCCCCTCACCGCCGCCTCAGGTCAGGATCCCCAGACTAACCCTTCTTTTTCTCCCTTCAGCTGCTGCCTGTGAGTTTTTGGACATCGTGGAGCTGTTGCTGAAGTCAGGAGCTGACCCCACGCTCCGGGACCAGGAGGGCTGCCTGCCGGAGGAGGTGACAGACTGTAAAGCCATCACCTCGGCTCTGCAGCAGCACACCGCTGGCAAGACCTAACCCTGCGGCCTGGCAGGGAGGACAGAGACGCTCTGCAATAACACCCCTTCTCTTCCCCCACTGCCCTCTGAAATGCCTTGGGGGTTCGAAGGGGAGCTTTTCGAGCACAGGGTCTGGGTGGGCTCTCCAGCACGAGGGCTGGCTGGCCGAGCGCGTATCCTGGGCAGGATGGGATCAGGGTTCTGCATGTTCTGACATTTATCAGTGGGGGGGGGGAGGGAACGAGGGAGGGGAGGCAGGGCCTGGAGGAGGTCCTTAGTCTCGTTTTAATGTGTTAAACACCAGTACTTCATCGGATGTCTCACCAGAGCAGCCTGTGCTGACTGGTTGGCTCCTCCGTGGAGGGGGGAGAGCTGCTGGGCCAGGTGAGATGCCTGTCTCTCCCGTTCAGGTTGAGTTTGGGTTTATTTTTTTTTCCTCTGGGTCCAAACAAAATATTATAAATAAAAGGAAAGCACAGTGTTGGGAGAGAGCGTCTGCGTGTTTGTCTTGCGGGGAGTGACGATTCCTTGGAAGCAGTAAGGATGGGAGGCAGCTCAGTGCTGTCATAGCCCTTGGAAAGCTCTGCTCAAGCTCTCGTCCTGGGGAGAAAGGGCCACAAAAGACAGCGGAGTCATACGCCTGCCTGCCTGTCCCTCTGGTTCTCACCTAACATATGTATGACAAGTGCTCTGTGGCTAACCAGTCTCTCCAAGCTGAGAGGACTTTTACCATGCCACCCAACCGCTTTGCTGAATTAAACGGCATTAAAACCCCACGTCCACCAGCAGCTCCAGGTCCTCCTGTCACATGCCAGTCCCTGGGCTGGCTCGCTCAGGGCTGGGTTTTCGTAAGAGCCAGGCACGGACATAAACCTGCGCTCACCCTATCACCTCTGTGGGCCTGTCTGGGAGACTTCATGGTCCTCTCAGCTGGCCAGATACACAGAAAGCGGGAAAGACATGCCTCATGGCGATGCTTCAGGTGCCGGAGTGAGGTGGGATGGTTGTGGGGCTTAACTGCTTCCTTATTGGGATCCGCGCTGGGCTGTGCCAGGGGGTCGGTCGTGGTCCAGAGGAGCTGCCGGGGATGGGTTTGTGCTTTGGGCCATGTCCTGGCTGGGAGGGAGGCTGTTGCGTTGTCCCTGCTACATCTGGGGCGGGTGTACACAGCAAGAGGAGGCTGTGGCTTCCCAGCAGGACATTGCCATGCCGCTTGCCGTTCCCAGGACAAGGAGATACACAGCCTGGGGGAAGCGTAGGAAATCTCCATCGCTGTGACGGGAAGCTACTTGCCATCGAGTCCGTTCTGCAGCACATCCAGCCTCAGGAAAATAAATGGGAACGTTCCCTTCGCTAAGGACTGGCTGGGCAGGAGGCACGCGTGGGTTTTGGCCCCTCACAGCGGCTGCCGGCTCCTGCCAGCCCTC